CTATATATTTATTTCACATTTGTACTCCCCTCTGATAGGTGATGCGTCGATGTTCATGATAATCCCATTTCTTTCCTTTGTCCCTATGATCCCTCAGAATATCAGCGGTCGGTCCCGAGGAGCCGCTAGCTGTGACGTAACTAACCACCTAGGAACTTGAAAGGGGTTTTGATGATGTTGTCCATCGGGTGGTTACCGATAGAGAAGGCAACATCTTTAGCAGAGCCGGCACAGATACTGAGGGTTTTGCATGTCTTCAGATACAAGTGGATGTCACGCAGATTTCTGTCCAAGGTGTTTAGAATACACTGCATTGATCTTGCCCTGCTTATAGAAGTGCTAGGTCATCGGCAAATGCGAATGTCACGTGTCCCTAGCTTGTAGCCATATGCTGCTTCATTACGGAGGTATTCCATTGGCAGGTTGATAACAGGTAAGGAAACTGCGACAGACAGTGTGTCCTCCTGGAACGTGCCAACTTCGAGCTGGAATGGATTAGATGAGAAGTCTGACCACCTCACCTGGGCCGTGAGATTGCTGTAGAATGCTTTCACATAGGCCGTGTTCATGTGAAGTCAGTGAAAGCGCTTTACATGCGGTTTACCCCAAAGCCGGTTTCAAGTCCCTCCATCTGAACGCTCCAAATCACATTGAAAGCGCCTCGATCCCAAGCCACTTGTAGAGGTGGTTTCGAATCGGTTTTCCCGCATCGCGATTTGCGTCTGAACGCAATGTGATTTCAGTGTGACTTCACTTGGTCATGGGTTACGGGGTGATATATCAGAATCTTTATTTATATTCAATACCAAATTTTACGCGTCAGCAACTTAAAGAGTAGTAATGATCAAATAATGTGTCCGTTCTAGGGCGAGCGTCACCGCCTCTGGCGGGATCACGTCGGCATTCGGCCGAGATACGCTGGGAGGGGGGCACCAGCAAGCAGGTCGTTGACCTCTGACAGTAATAACACGCTACCTTCCACCCTAGGATCTGCTTGGAGATAACATAGTTACAAGAAGTTGAATTTCTTGTGTGTTTTTTAAAATCTGAAAACAGGCCAAAATCAATCAAAATCAATGCGCGTGCGTACGTCATCCATAAAAGTTACTGATGTGACCTTACCAAAGCCTATTTCTAACCGAACATGAGGTATGATTAAACTTTATTCACCAGGCCTTTCTACGGGAATTCGGATCGTAGAATTCGGCAAAAAAAGGAGTAAAATTGGTCAGGGGATCGGGAGTCCGGCCGTGGGAAGGTTGTTTCTTTCCCTCCGAACTGCGCGGCCAGTCAAACCTACAAGTACAAGGCCGCCGAACTCCCCTGGCAAATATTCTCCTGTTACTAGTATAGCAGTCTGGTAGAGACTACTGTCAATCACAGTTACTTAGCAAGTGAAGTGTAGCCTATACCAGACACCGCGGAAAAAACAATAGACATTGGCCCAAATGAAGGGAATACATGTACTAGTACAATAGTTTCCAAGCGAGTTGGCCGGCTAGGGAGGGTACATTTTGCTACTCTCCAAGTAGAGGTTTGGGTTTTGAGGGTATTTTTTAGCGTGTTTTAGGCTGTTTTATCTGGGTTTTTCTTTTGCACTGAATTTTTTCCCTGAATTTCCTGATTTTTTTTTGGGGGGGGGATTCAGTGCAAAAGAGAAACCCCGATAAAAAGGCCTAAAAACACGCCAAAAACAACCCCAAACCTCTGCTTGGAGAGTAACATTTTGCGACCCTCGGCCGCGGCTATTATAAATCTCCAAGCAGATCCCTTTCGGTGGCAAAAAGACAGTATCAAAAGTTTCAAAGTTTCAAATTGACTAGGCAGTATCCATTAGCCAGAGAAGATCAGAGAAAGGTCGCCAGCCACCGACGGTTGGGGGTAGCGACAAAAAACAACAACAGCAACAACAACAACAAAACGGCCACATATAAAAAGGTAACGATCATTCCCCCACAACATCTGCTTGGAGAGTAAAGTGGTGCTCTTTTTTTTGCAAAGTGGCGCGAAAAATCTGCTCAGATGTGTCAAGTTACCAGAGGACCTGGCGCCGCCCAGTCTGGGATGAGTCTTTTCCCACGGCGGCAGATCACTGGACTATTCCACTAAGTCTACAGGGGATAGGCGTTTTGTTTACCTCTGGTTATTTGAATGCTATAGCTCCGATGTTGTAGTGATGCCTTTGCAAGCTTATTCTGCTCAGATAACAGTAGTGGAGTTTGCCTAGTTTAGTCAAGAAGGTTAAATACAAGAGGCCTTTTGATTTTAAACCTCCTTGGTTTAGTTGGAAACACTTGGGCGATCCGCAAAGAATCACGGGAAATCTAGTAGGTTCATTTTGGCGCGCTGCACCAGGAGGTTGTTTTCCAGGAAAGTTCAGCGATCTTCTGAATTTCTGTCTTCGAGGAGCCATCATTGTACACCCAGGTAACACTCTGGCCTGTTGTCGTGCCATGTTGCTCTCACATGCGTGTTAAACGTTAATCCAGACACATACAGGGGTTTTCAGAAGTTGTTGTATGTCTTGAAAACTACTCATTATGGCGCACTCATGATCCTCACAACAAAGTACCGCTACTTGCTCCATGCTCCACCAGGCCTTACTGTTGATAGACTGGTAAGGGTTTATGGAAGTATACTGGACATGGGATTCTGTAGTAGACTTCGGTAAAAATAGGAAACTTTCGTTCGGCCAAGGATGACACCGCGGTATGGGCAAAATTCCCCCTCAAATCTGACTAGTTTTCAGCGTGTGTGGTAACGACCACATGCGCGGGGGGTTTATGGAAAAAGGAGTCCAGTCCGATTGGCGGAAAAAGCAGTCCAGTCCGATTTTGGGGTGGAAAAAGCAGTCCGGTGGTTTCTACGAAATTTCACGAAAGACCATAGGCACAATTTTTTCTTGTGTGTGTACTTCTAGTTTCTATGGGTACTTCGAGTCTCTATGAGTACTTAGAGTTTCTATGGGTACGTAGAGTTTGCATGGGAAAAAAATGAGTTTCTATGAGTACTTAGAGTTTGTATGGGAACCTAGAGTTTCTATGAGTGCTTAGAGTTTGCATGGGAACTTACAGTTTGTAACTTACATATCATCATCATGCCTCCGGATTATTACTTACATATAAGTAATAATAATTAGTCAAAAGATGAAGCGGTCAACTGACGAGATTTCCAGGGCCGATCCTGCTTGCAAGTTGCCTGATTAAATCGCTTTACGGTTGCCAGCTGCCCAACATCCAGCCGGCCCCAGCTAAAGCCACGTATGGCAGACTTTGCATTACACCGACAAGCATGTAAGTACCGGAAGTACAATTGTAAGAAAGAATCCCTTTATAAGTAACTTTTGTTTATTGTGGATAGGTGACCTGTATGACTGTATAGAAACTACTTTTCAGTGGTCCCAAGAGGTGTAAATCAGTTGTCCGCTATTCCTCACCCAAGGCTGCCTGAATTATGGGTTAAGGCGGCATATAGTGAGTCATATATGCTAATTCAAGTTCCCATACAAACTCTAAATAGTCATAGAAACTCTAAGTACCCATAGAAACTCTAAGTACTCATAGAGACTCGAAGTACCCATAGAAACTAGAAGTACACACACAAGAAAAAATTGTGCCTATGGTCTTTCGTAAAATTTTGTAGAAACCACCGGACTGCTTTTTCCACCCCAAAATCGGACTGGACTGCTTTTTCCGCCAATCGGACTGGACTCCTTTTTCCATAAACCCCATGCGCGGGAACTTTTCACAATTCTCAAAATTTGATAACGATCTGTTCTGAAACTTCATTTGTTATCTTTAGTTCACAACACTCTCCAGTTATTATCATCAAGTATGTGTCAGACTCCAGTACGTGTAAAATACTTGTAACGAACATAGTTTTGGCCAATCACACTGTACGATCCAGCGCTTTAAGTTACACGATCTCACCCCGAATCCCAAAGGACGAACTAATAATACTCCTCAAAGTGTACTAGGCCGGCTAACTTCACTGGCATATTATTGACTTTATTTGGCCAATTTGTAGTATTTTCCAGCGACCTTGGGCCTTGGGGGTTAGTTAAGTCCAGGTTAAGTACAACCACTTTTGTTTGGGTACATGACATGAGATTTGGTGGCCACATGTGGAGGCCCGGACAAACATGTTATTTTCCATCCTGGGGAGTTGGGGAAGTCAACCTTCTTCAGTAGACTAGTGAAGTTTATTCAGTTACTCAGTTTATTCAGTGACCTGGGGACTGACATGACTTAAGTAATGAATTGAAATTGCCTGATAAGTGTAATCTTGGCTGAGTGTCGGCTGCTGGGATCTAATGTACCAGTAGATAGCCTCGGTTTCCCCAATGTATTATTCTCCCCAGGGACCCGGAGTGTTACTGTTGAACTAAAGTATTAACATTATCATGGAATGTACCAACACAGATGAGCTTTTATCCTAATATAAAATTTGTTTTTAGCAAACATACTGTACCCTGGTCACTAACTGTCTTCACAATCATCAACAGTAATTTTTGTATACTTAGGCTACACCGACTTAATTTTAAGGATGACATCCGCGCGCGCATTGATTTTCGTCTGTTCTCAAAAAAGATCACGTCCACCGAGGCACTGGCCTGGATCTAGGCTTGGGTAGTCCATGATAGTTAGCGACAATACAGAATCCGGGCACCCAGGCTACCGAAGCTCCACGACTCAAGAACTCAGTACATACCGTACGCACAGTGCCGATTCATAAATTCCGCAAAAAGCCAACATGTGCCGGCTTTTCATATACGTCGCTATGTACATTGTACTGACGCAAATTCACAATACCAGCTTCGAATTCTTGTGGTTTAGTAGCATTTTTATTTATTGCCGGAATTTTTTTTATTCGCCCGCGCGCACTAGTTTGGGGGCCTTCAGAGGATGTCATCCATAAAATTAAGTCGGTGTGGCCTTACTTGTCTTCATGTAATTGAAACAAACCAAATAACGAAGTGTCATTTCTGTTCTGCCCATCAGGGTTTCTTCAGGAGATTGAGAGTCTGAAGCAGGAAAAACAGCTCCATACAGAGCGTCAGTGGTGGAAACTCCAGCTGCACAGCCTGGAGACAGCACTGGAGGACCAGAGCAGCCCAGGAACAGCAGGACAGCTTGGCTGGACAGGTGGACGAGCTCCGGAAACAAGTCGCTGCACTCAGCAAACAGATGAAGTCCAGCAAGCAGATCATGGAGATCAGTATTAGTATTAAACTTACACATGAACTACAAACACAAGATGATGAAACACATGTAAGTCCAACTCCTGGTACTGCTTGCCCGTCAACCTCTATAACAACTTATCACAACTAATATCCTACTCCTAGTGGTCACAGCAAGTAAGTTTTATTGATGACATCAGTGCAGGCATTGATTTTTGCCCGATTTTGGAGAAAAAAAAAAGAAATTTTGTTGCCTTCTTACAGTGCCGAAAATGGGCAAAGATGTCTGTTGCCATGCCGGAAGGTGGATGGCAGATAACTATGAAGAGAGGAGACAAGAAAGGGCTCTTTAGTATCATGTTTCTTACTTTGATGCTGTCTTGTCTTGATATGCATTCTGTTGACGTGTCAAGTTATATCTTGGCTTTACTTCCACACTCAATATTATTTATTCTTTCTCATGTATGCTCAGCTAATCTAGTAATAGACCAGTTAACCTTTCACTGATCGCATGAACTGCATACGTCACGGGGGACATTTCGAATAGAACACCGTTCTAGAACCGACTTTCACAATGCGGTGTCCCCCCTGGCAGATTTCAGGATGTGGGTAAGTTTCATTTCTGAAAATTCCTGATCTGAACTGGTACAAGGAGTCTAAGCATATCGATACTTCACTGAAGGATGGCTGTCCCCTGTTTCCTTCCACCCAATCTTACCAGATAGCTGATTCTGGTATCTGAGAACAGAATGCCGACCATTGCAGTGATCTGCCAGGGGGGACATCGCGAAAGCAAAAGCTGCATTCAACTTCCAGGTTCTAGAACGGTGTAGTCTATTCAAAATGTCCCCCCTGTGACATAAGTACATGTAGCTCATGCAGTCCGTGAAAGGTAAACTGGTCTATTAACAAATCTCATTCTGTGGTATTGGTCATCCTCATCATATATATACCACCAAAGAAGATGAATTATCTGATAATTTTGTGTTGTTGTGTTTTGTAGTCTCAGAGTGCAGAGTCGCAGACAGACCTGGGTCCTGACGTGAGCCCGGGAGGCCCTCTCCAGCCTACAGCAGCAGGGTTACAGCAGCAGCTAGCACACCTCAGTACGTCTGTAGTCATACTGTAATTCTTGATTTGATAACGGTCACTTAATTATAGCGGTCTTAGCGGTCACTATTCCACCGCTAAATGTTCATGATCGCAACTTTTTTTTACCACTTCCGCCCCCCTCCCTCTTGCCCCATGCTCGTTACGGTACGATCGCAATCACGCTTCATTTCTTGACTACGCACACAACGCACAGTACTAGTGCTTCACATAGGAACAAGCAAAACACTGATGTGCTTCCAGAAATAAAATTTTATTAAACATAAAGTAGTTCATATTTTTAACAATTATGCAGTGCTAAGCAAACCACAGTAAAAAAAATCTTGTGAACATGCACAAACACATGTGACGTAGTGACGCTTTGAAATTTCCCAGCTTATCTACACTTGGGTATTTATAAATATTTTTAGCGTATATTTCGATTTAGAAGTTTCTTCATAAATTTACAGAAACGATAGCCGTTCATTTTGTGCTACTACGGGACAACATCAAAAAAAATGAGACGAGTTACAAAATTCAGCGTCGCCCAAACATGAAGACAACAATAAACAAAATGGCGGCCCGGCGGCCAACTTCACAAACGAGTTACAAACTACGAGAAATGCGGCATAAATCTGCTTAATTTCTAGGTAGAAATCTAGGTAGAAATACAATCAAATGTTAAGCGTCATTTGTACTACAAAATGTAAAAGCGTTAATAGCGTGCTATGACTAAGACGAATCGAAAATTAGGGAACCAAGCGCCGAGTGAAAAAAAAGGCGTCACAAGTTTTTCGAAAATTGCGAGTCAACTTTTACGGCAAAAAATACAATTAAACGTTACTGTTAAAGGCTACAGTGTCTGTAGAACTTTCTCGAGGGCGTCATGGATTCCATTACGCTCCAATCCTAGGGCGAAGACGCCGGGTTTCGCTGTAAGCTCGTCTGCGGCGCCGGGCATAGCGGCGTGCAGCGGCATAGCGTGCGGCGGCATGGAGCTTGGGGAGGGGGGCGGCGGTGCCGCACGCAACACAAGCGTGCGTAATTACGAACTTTTTTAAGTCACCGCGCCGCTACAGTACTTTGTAAATTATTTACTTCCAGACACCATTGGCGTGCCTGTTTTGTTTTTTCTTTGTAAAAATCGATTTTCCCTGGCGTAAACTGCTTTTTTTATTTTCTTAAAAAAAAGGCCAGCGTTTTAATGTATTTTTTACACACATCAGCCATGTTCTCACACCGCTATAATTAAGTGACTTGAGCTTGTCCATTTTTCGCCAACCGCTATGATTTCCAACCGCATTTTTAAATGGATTTACAGTAACCAGGGCTCTAACCAGCACCTGTTTTTCTGTCAATTGCAGGAACTTTGTGGCGTGTGACAGAAAAATTTATAAACCAATTCATCAGCCTTGATTGACAAAATTGACAACTTTTGTAAAATATAAAAACATCCAAAGGACCACCAACAAACACTCTCAACGCCATGATTTGCCTCTCAAAATGCAGAAATTGTGTTTTTAAAGACTTAAAAATCCAAATTTTGCCCATGGACCCTCATAGATTGCAAGCACTCTCTTCTCAGGTCCAATCATGAACCTGGGCTGACAAAAAAAATTTGAGCTGGCTAGAATCCCGATCATGACTAATTTGTCTGGCAACCCATGTTATAATCTGGAAAATTTGCCAACTATATATTTGGCATACTCGGATTATTCAGAGCTTTATTTAGTATGCAACAAGT